AGGATCACGACGGATACCCAGGAGGCACCCGTCGAGCCCTGCAAGCAATCAGAAATATCAAGTGTATCAATCACCTCTGGATGAACTTTTACAGGTGGGTCTCCGTCACTGCGTATACCTTATGGCTTATACTGTCATGTATTCTATAAATATGATGGTACTTTTAGTGAGTGAGTCCGGATATGCAAAGTTAAAACAAATATGTTTGCTTTTGTTTTTACGCGACCGTGCACTATTTATATCTAAGTATGTCTGCTGTCTACTTACTGATCATTGGTATTGCTATGTACGAATTGCCTTTCGATAGTGCGAATGATTAAACGACTATAAATAACGAATTCAATGAATTATATTTACAACGTTCAATGTTCGGGTGGTAATTATTCGACGCATATTTGAGCCATAGTGTAATAAATAACTTATTATTACACTTATTTTTATTACACAATGTTACTTATTGCATTATGTTTTAGCTTATCTTGACGATTTATCATCATTTGCACTTGCATGTGCTGTAGTCTCTTTCTTTTTTAGAGGGGAGGTCATAGTCATATATTCCGTTCTTTAGTGGCATTGCTACGTAATTAGAGCTAGTGCAGCTAATACGATATGCCAGCACTGTTTTAACACGCGCAGTGGAAGGGGGGGGGGCGGATTTCGCCCACCCCTCCTGTTTTTCGCCAATAACTCGCGCCGCAAGCATAATATCAATGTGAAATTTCGGCTACCTGTCCAGAATTGCATTGCGGATCTTCTCGTGCAAGAAGTAAGAAAATCGGTTCATAACTTTTCTAGTAATAGCGGTGTAAAGTCAAACATCCTGCCGCCGCGGCGGCGCGGCGGCGCGGCGGCCGGCGCTAGCCGTTACGCGCCGCCTGAATTGTAGACTGTGCCGGGGCGGGACGGTTCCGTCTTTACATCGCGCTCCTTACCGCTGATTATATTAGATTCGCGTCAAATTCGGTGAGAAGACTGAGAAATGTACAGGCAATCATATGGTCAAAGAATTTTGAAAATCGGCCGGTAACAACTTGAGTTATGAGTGTGTAAACACAAAATTGTGATTGCCGCGTTTCCCGCGTCGGCCGATGCCGCCTCAGCCGGCGACATCTTACCCTTCGCAGGCTTCTAACTGCCATATTTATTGTTGGATTATCTAGAAATTCACCATACATACTCACAAATGTTTGCTCTTTCGTATAATGAAAGATTTAAAAAAATCGGCCGGAAACTTTTTGAGTTATCGGCGTGTAAACGCAAAAAAGTCGCTAATATGGCAGATTTGACCACATTTGACCTCATTTGACCTTGAAGATATTGACCTAGGGTCATGAAATTCACACACAACAGAGTTCCCCATGGCCCCCACCTACCCTCCAAATTTCGTCTTTCTAGCTCCAGTGGGAGCTGAGATCTTAGGGGGGGGCGACATCCGCCCCCCCCCCCTTCCACTGGGCGTAGTACTCGCAACCGTTCCACTGCGCGTGTTAAAATTAACCGTGTTTTCATACGCGAGCTTTGATGTCACAAATTCAACAACACTTTTCATTCAAGGCTTGGTTCAAATGAGTTTTTCACAATGGCTAGATAGCGTTGTGAATGTGAGTAGTTTAGATCGTCCCTCGCTTTAGAATAGGCTCTGAGCTGCAAGCCGAGCCAATGAACCAATCTGTGAGGTTATGAGGTAGTTCTTAGGAATACCTACGACAATCAGAGTGCTCTTATTTCTGTGAAAATGGGCTTCTAGTCTGCCGGTTTAATCTGTCGCGGCGGCGACGACATACCGAGTGCGCCGAGCAATCTGTGTAATGTAGCGTCATATTTGCTGAGTCTACCAGATGCGAGCATTGGTGTTAAAATGTGGTGTTCAGACGGCGACACCGCCGTTCTAGGCTCAAGTTCAAGGTATTTCGCGTTTGTCTATACTTTGAATTTTATGTGTGCTTTTCATCTGGTTTACTTGTAACATTTTACATTTGTAAGCTTTTTTTGAAGTTGTTGAATCTGACTGGTAATTATTTGAGCTTTCAACTTAACCGTCAGTGGTATGAAACTCGGCGTTTGAAACCGGCGCTTGAAGCGGTTCCCTCAGCGCTGAAACACCACTTCTTGTTTCGCTAGTTCTTCCGCGTCATTTTGTTTTTCAGTGCAAATTTTTAACATTTCCTTGGTGAGTTACCTGCAACCACTACATTATTTCATATTATGTGTTCGTCTGGTACTCGCGGAACAGGGATTATTTCATGCCCTATTTGTTAACTAATGAAGGGGAATTGGATGGCATAGTTCCAGCTTTCGTAGAGTTTCTGCTTCACTATTACACCGAAAATAATCAATTGATTATCGTTAGAAGTACATGGTGAGCCTTCTCTAATTGTAATGTCGTTTCAGTATACATTCGTGATGCCATTTATCGAGAACATATCCAGATAAGACGTTTGCCCGTTTCTTTTTCAGGTAGCACGGATGGATCTTCCTTCCTTCACTGTATAAGTCTACCTATTGGATAGATCACTGCCGGCTGAAATCACAAACGGAACGCGGCGTGTCATTTCAAAACTATCTGCTTACAAAAAGGTATCATCATACCTTTTTGGGTGTAAACATGACTAAGTGCCGGGACGATTTGTCTAAAGTCATGTCTCTTCATCTACGATAGTAACCAACATCTTAAGTCTTATTTGGAGGGGTTTGGCTCTCCCCATAGACCTCTGTATATCTGGATCACTGAACACAGAAAATTTGGCCATGACCACAACGCAAACGGTCCTGAAAGTCAGCGCTTGTGACCCGATAATTAGTTTATCAGGGTCAAGTAGGTATACAGAGGTCTATGCTGTCCTTTTCCCTCTTTAGCTGTGTTCTCCGCGCTTTGCTGTCGCTCGTTTATCTATTGATGTTTAATATAAAACTTTTATTTGAAGGTGGAAATTGAAATTGACTTTCGTCTCGGTTAGCATGTTTCTGTCCTCCCGAGATGTTTTAGTGTTAGTCTTTTTGCACTTTATTTAGTTGAAAGTAAGCGTGATGGATCTCGTGAGTGCTTGGATCTCGTGAGTGCGACTTGGATCTTTCTGAAAATCCTGCGTCATTTTAGGTGAGTGTGAACGCATTTCATGTGAAATAAACTGCACATTCGGCTTGTCTGTTGATTTTGATGCTTAAGAAGCCAAATGAGATCGAATCGAATCGAGTGAATGCAGTTACCTATTAAAGCTTTATTTTCCTTTTGAATTGGAAGCTGACATTTGAGGATGATGTATGGATTGTTTCACTCACTTTAAAGTTGAGAAAGAATTGAGGGCTTCTTATCGATTGAACTGACCTCAATTTCTGTTATTCAGCGACTTCTCTTCTCCTTTACTGTTAAAAGCTTTTAACCCTCGCCCCAGTGGCGGTCTCAGCCAACTTCGCCCTAGTGGGGGGGGGGGGGGCATATGTTACCACCCACCTCTAACTCAAAAACTAAGAGGGCTAGAAAGATGCGGTAAAAAGCAGTCGATAGCTCTAAATGCGTACGTTTGAAAGGATACAGGTCATTTTCATCTTAGAGCAATATTGGGGTCACTGGAGGTCATCAAAGGTCAAAATTTGCCAAATGTCATTATATTTCTCAGAAAACATGCATTTATCTCAGGAACTATGATAGCTAGAAAAACGCATGAAAAAGCAATCGATAGCTTTTGAACTCTTCTTTTGATAACGTCATCATCAAAATTGACCTCAGGTCAACGGTTTAGCCTCCAGAGGGCAAAAACTAAAAAAATAGCTGTTTTTACGAAATGTGTTTTTCGACAATAACTTTTGACTAAAACCAGCTAGGACATTTCTATTGCCAGAATCGTGTTCCTCTCGACGAGACACGTCGAATGAACTATAATTTGACCTTGAAAAGTCAACTTGAAAATTTGACCTCAGGTCAAGGTCATGACCTGACTGGGAAAGGTCATGTTGCATATCATTCGATGCGTCTCAACAAGACAAACACAATGAGACCATCCCCAGCGTCCTATCTCTTTCCAATCGAGAGTTATTGGCAAAAATCTGTTTGTAGCCTCAAATGACCTCGGATGACCTTTCTAGAGGCTATCAGCAAAAAAAAACACACCTTGGTCGTCACGGGTGGTCCAAATCATTGTGATTCTGAAATATTTGGACTGTTCCTATGCATACACACGGATTTAGAGGCATTTTCATTTTTCTCCATTGCCTTATAATGGTAAGGTCACGCCACTGACCTGACCTTAGGTCACGGATATAAAAAATCCGAGATATACAAATTGTAGGCGCCCATAACATCATGCAATCCACCAAGTTTGAAACCTTTCTGACAAGTACTGCAGGCTGGACATGATTGCAAACTTTTTTTTAGGCTTGGTCAGTTAACCTGACCTGGTAACCTGACCTGACATGACCTGGGGTCAAAAATTTCACACATTGTCCAAAATTGATGTACAAAAAGCTACCCCAAGCGGCGCGGCGCTGCGCGCCGCGGTTTTTTATTTACACGCAAAAAACGCGACAGGGTGGTAACATATGCCCCCCCCCCCCCCCACTGGGGCGAAGGTTAAATGTGGGATTCCGTGTACGGGAGTACTTTTGATCCCTGCCATAGTGAAGTGCTCATGAAAAGCTGGTAAAGCTCTTGCCGCTTTTTACCAGTTTTCCCACTCGTAATCCTTACCAACACTGCCTATCAAGCACCACATGTATTTCAACGTAGTTTTGCCATAACATTCGTTACTCCCTCAATAAAAGCCGAACTAACATCATTTCCATCTTGATTTCAGATTCACGGCCTATGTTTGTCTGCAAAGAATGCGGCCGTCGCTATAGCAACCGACAAGCGTTGACACACCACCTGAAGGTTCACCAGGGTCTCACAACGTGCCGTCTCTGCGGGAAGGTGCTCTGTATCGTGTCGCACCTCCGGCGTCACCTGGCGCAGGCGCACAACCTGGGGCCGGAGCAAATACGTCTGTTGGCGCCGACGGCCGTCCATGGTCGATATCAAGGGATGCACGATCAGGGATGGATGGCTTCAGCCGCTCAGGAGACGGGCCAGGGCACTGCGCAGGATTGGCAGCAAAGGGCTGAGCAGGAGGCTGGACAGGGCACAGCGCAGGATTGGCAGCAGAGGGCTGAGGAGAACGCTGGCCACGGAAGTGCGCAGGATTAGCAACAAGGAGCTGAGCAGAACGCTGGTCAGGGAGCTGCGTAGGATTGACGACACAGAGCTGAGCAGCAAGCTGGCCAGGGAGCTGCGCAGGATTGACAACAAGGAGCTGAGCAGAACGCTGGCCAGGGAAGTGCGCAGGATTAGCAACAAGGAGCTGAGGAGAACGCTGGCCGGAGAAGTGCACGCCACTGGCTCCAGGAGCCGGTCAGCAGGGTGGACATGGTGTTGTACCGGGCGCTGGACATAACGTGCAGCATAGTGTACAAAGTGTTAAACCTGAGGCGCCGCGAGATCAATGAATCGTCTTTTGTTTTCTCAGGATCACCCTTTTATCTCGTTTGCTAACTCTTTGAAATTCCATGCAAAACAGTACCTGCGGGTTTGAAGTGGACAACCGTCATTGAAGTAATTTGTCGCAACGAGTGGTCGTCAGCGAGGATATGTGGCAGTCGTGACGGACTGAACCGTGGAGATGTTCCGGCTTGTAGTCATTTCCCCCCTGATCGCATCAGTCTCGTAGCCTGAAATGGTCTTGCTAGACCGTAGGGCTCGTCGTAAGATGCCAGTGCAGAGTGACGGAGGAGTGTGTTAACATGCTTCACACCATTACTTTTATCCTGGTGTGGATATGACTCTGTAACAAGGTGGTTCGTTTTAGACATCATTTACAAGGCCAGAGTAATGCAGAAGGAGTATTGGTCAGTGACTAATGTCTTTTACCATGGTGCTGTTTTCTCTTCGTCTCGAGTATGAGACCGTTGTTCACCAACAACTAATGTTGTAGCCAAGCGTCCCACCTTCCGCCTTGTGTCGTAGAAACACAGAATTGAAAAACAATTGGCGTACGATGGTATGATAGCCGTCACCCTCAACACATCCTCTTAGCGAGTTGGTAGGTTGTGTCCAAACTGTTACTTGGCGTGAATGGTGTGAGCTTTTGTGAAATGGCATAAACAGAAATGGGATATCCAGCAGTGGTTCAGCGTCTTTTGGATTTGCAGCTGTAAGCACGCTGAACTCTCGACTCTGGCCGTCTCAAAGCCGTAGTGGCATGTAGTTGTGCGGACTGATCAGTGATAAGTGTGACATTTGTTTGTGTTAAGTAGTAAGGCAAGTGAAGCACGGTGTACGTGAATGTGTGTTGCCTCGCCGGAGTTGAATCCTCATCAGGATTAGACTGGTATACTTCTGCAGATTCACGGGTTTGTGGTTTCTTCTTTGTAAATGTGTAGTATGTAACATTTTCAGTATGTGTTTGTAGAATGATACTAGAATGCCAGAGTTGTGTAAATTGCGTCGCGAATCAGTCATAGGGTAATGACCATTTGCCATGTCACCGTCTTTGCATGTTCATTGTGTTTTTTTTTTGCACAGCATTTTTATGTAGAAAATAAACTTTTCGGGTGTTGTGTCCGAAAGCGATTTTTGATGAGCACCGGTGACGGTTGCTGGGGGAAGTGCAATACGCTCGATGCGAATTATGTCAATCGAAACTTTTTTTTGGAATAGTGACTGCATTGGTATTGCGTGGTCCTGAAATACCATGCGATTTGATTGGTCAAGAATGCATTGACCCTGATGAAAGGCAATAAAGTCAATGGGCGTTGCAAATACAAATTTCTCCATATAAATTGACATGAGGCGACATGCGAAAGTGTAGCGGGGTTTCGCGGCGTTGCGGGGCTAACTGGGCAGTGTCTTAGATAGGGAGAGAGAGAGAGAGAGAGCTCCGTCGGTGCGCTCCTAGAAGCCCTTCTCTATATCCAGCCCCTCGCGAACCCGTTCCGACTCTGACTCTATCTTTCCGGGGCGATCAATCATCGGAAACACATAGGCCAGGGTTAAGGAATGGGAGGAGGGATAAAAATAATAACCCATTATCCTTGATCACACTGAAATACGAACCCAACTCTACTTAACAAAAGGTCCCACTCTCAAACAGCAACACCCGTCCTAGCTGAGGGTTATCTCCCACCGGATATACATGCCAATCATACGTTCATTTGCTCGTCCCCTTTCATTTATGTCATACACCCAGCCATACCTCATAAATTGTCAGAGTTAACCATCTCTGATCCCTCCCTCTTTGCCTAACTCCCCCGGTGGTGCTAAGGCGTGCGCAAGTCGTTATTGAGTCATTGGCCTTAGATTTCATTAACCGTTATCCCTTCATAACCACAATGCTCCGTACATCATACAAACGCTTCATAATGCTCACGCTACACGAATAGAATACACGAACCACCACAGATTTCGGCACTCCGCCCTTGAATTACCTACGTGACTTATTGCGGTCCATCTCATCACCATGTCGAACTACGTGCACAAAATACATAAATGTCCTTCGGCCAGCGGTTCCGAGACTACGGCTCGCAGGACACTGTGTAGTCCGGTTTCCGCGGGGGACTTGTTTGAAATTTGAGACCGGGGCTGGGTAACTAGGTCCGTCCGGGCTGCCTGCATCGTCTCCGTATAGCCACGGCTTTTGGAACAGCACCGGCGACCGAACGGGTTAGCCTCCGTTGGCTTCACACAATCCACGACTACCAGCGTTATAGGTGCCCGAAGCCCTATCTATCCGTTGCTGGTAGTTAAGCTGTCGTCACAGACCTATCCGAAATGACCGCTGCACGGCCGGAGTAAATCGACTGACAGCGGGGTGGCCAGTACCGACTTACCGCGATCACCCGACTCGCATGCTTTGGTATTTAATGTTTACCCCCGTCCTGCAGCATTACACGTTCCTTCGCGGGACATTACTTAACCGGCGGCATACGTCTCCTCGCTGGGACGCCTGGGGTCCTAACCATTTCCCAAACTACCTACGTCGCTTATCGAATGTCATCCTGCGCTGATCACTCAATGGACCGGTAGCGGACCTAACCTATCTTTTAAAACCGGCGGGGTCACTAGGTCCCTCCGGGCTGCCTGCATCGTCTCCGTATAGCCACGGCTTTATGGGGCCCGCGCCGGCAACCGAACGGATTAGCCTTCGTCGGCCATGCACCCATCCTCAATAATCGATCCTCAACTCGCTCTCACCCTTTCTCTTCACTTCGCGACTTATTGCACGTATCCAGGGCTTACCCAAGCGAGGCCTACTATTTAAGTGGGGTCTATCCGAGCTGAGCTTCATTCAGGAAATCCGATTCCTCTCCGTGTACAGTCTTCTTCCATTTCACTCGCTTCTCATCTCCCTCCTAACCCGTGGCCGCGTCGGTGGATTTTCCACGCACAGGGGCGTAACGTGCATCATCTATCTCCCCGGCTCCGTCCCTTGCAGTGTCCATGTGGGGTACAGTTACATACATTTCGTGTGCGGCAAAGTCTATGTGTGCTCCTTGTATTCGGACCGTTGGATTGGGTGGAGCGCCAGGAATTCCGCTGACGCATTATATTGATTGAAACCGGACGGTGGTACGGTAGGAATAGGATAATAACAGCCAGAGCACTCTCCAGCATAGGTAAGGTAAGAAGGTCCTGCGTGTTCTGTGCGTGCTGCTTGTAGTCGGACCATCGGATAAAGTGGAGCGCCAGGAATTCCGCTGACGCGTAATAGTTATGGAAACAGGACAATGGTACGGTAGGAATAGGATAATAACAGCCAGAGCACTCTCCAGCATAGGGTAAGTTAAGGAGGTCCTACGTGTTCTCTGTGCGTGATGCTTTGTAGTCGGACCATCGGATAAAGTTGAGCGCCAGGAATTCCGCTGACGCGTAATATTTATGGGAACAGGACAGTGGTACGGTAGGAATAGGATAAAAACAGCCAGAGCACTCTCCAGCATAGGTAAGGTAAGAAGGTCCTGCGTGTTCTGTGCGTGCTGCTTGTAGTCGGACCATCGGATAAAGTGGAGCGCCAGGAATTCCGCTGACGCGTAATAATTTTGGAAACAGGACAGTGGTACGGTAGGAATAGGATAGTAACAGCCAGAGCACTCTCCAGCATAGGTAAGGTAAGGAGGTCCTGCGTGTTCTGTGCGTGCTGCTTTTAGTCGGACCATAAGGTAAGAAGGTCCTGCGTGTTCTGTGCGTGCTGCTTGTAGTCGGACCGTCGGATAGAGTAGAGCGCCAGGAATTCCGCTGACGCGTTATATTTATGGAAACAGGACGGTGATACGGTAGGAATAGGATAATAACAGCCAGAGCACTCCCCAGCATAGGGTAAGGTAGGGAGGTCCTGAGAGTTATGTGTGTGCTCCCTGTATAATCCCTTTGTGCACTGTGTAAAATCAAACAGATAAAGAAAACTGATCGTTGTAAATTACTCTGGCCAGACACCTTGGAAATGACCTCTTTCCCGACTGTGAGTTGGCATATGGCCTTTTATGCTCCATCCTCCGATCCCTGCCCTTCAGCACTACTCACACTCGTATTTCAATATTTACAAGTCCCATTTATTTACATACTCCGACGCAACACCTTAAATTCCCTTACACGTCAAATTTAAAGGAACCATTCTGGGCCCAGGCCGCCCATCAACTGAGCCCCACAAGCCGCGCGGTGCGGTACACAGTCGCCCGTCCCTTTCCAGACTCCCCACGGTGTATAATCCCCTCCGTCCGCCTTAATCACCACGGGGCGCCGGATGAGGGTCCACGTCGGCACGCGTCTCGCACCACGCGCACAGTTACATAATTGACCGAAATCGAATTGTGAACTTAAGCTACCTATGTAATCTGAAAGTCTCAAGAATAAATTGAACTACCTAAACTGAATGGCCTAAAATATTGCGGACGACACCTAAAAAGGGGAATATAATGTGGCTCACATAGCAGTAACGAGGGGGGGGGGTCACTTGAAGGATTTAGGGACTAGGTGCGCACCCGTGTTCACCGCGTGACCTTACTTGAGATGGAGTCGCTGACATGATGGTCGTGTCCGTCCAGCGCCCGGCCCGGCGGCCAGAGCCGCCGCCGGCGCCGTGATGCCAGCCGCTGGTGTCTCGTGGGCTGTCCGCGATATCAGACGAGAGACGTGGACCGATAGAGTGCGAGAGGCGCCGAATGCGTCGTCCGAGAGAGAGCTTTTCAGTTCCGTTTCATTAACTTATACTTCTGATGACGTCATACTTCAGAGGGCCGGGCAGCATCACCTTGTCCAATCTCCGTCCTCCATTCTCAGAAGCTTTACTCGGCTCCGCCCTCGAAAGTTCGTGATTTGCTGACAAAGTCCGGTTCCCCTCCGGCCATGGCAGTCGCACC